CATGAAAAAAAAAAAAAAAAAAAAAAGAGAAGGAAAAGTATTGGATGGCGAAAATCTTACCTCAACTTCTGACTGGCGGGGACAGTTATTTTATTAAGCTTATCCATTCTTTTTGGTAACTATACGAACCACAGATCACTGTCCAGTGGTCACGTCAGCAGTCCCTGGCTGTCCTGGGGAGTAGCATGGTAAGCCTTTGATCTCGAGAGTCCTAGTCACTTGAGTCTGATTTCTGAGAGTGCAGGCTGCTGGCAGACACCCCTGCACGAGGGAGAAGTAAAACTTGCTTGAGCACGTAGTCAAGTTTCATGTTTCTACATAGTCATGTGATCTGGGTAGCCAGCCAGCTTGGCTGATCACTCCACGCTGTGTAAACTTTAATAGTGAAACCTATTGGACATGCAAATTGCTTTCCAGCTCCTTTCTTCTGTAACCAGATTTATAACCAGGTCAGGGCAAGCTTCTGGCTGGTCACTACTTCCTGTTGTCCTGAACACATATAGTCCTTGTTTTCAGCAGGTGTCATGCTGTCCCCTTCCTGAGCTCAAGGAAAAGCAGAATAATCAATTCCATCTGAAAGTCTCTTTGGGACTTTCTGCTCATTTGCATAAAGTCATGGATAAACTTTTCCACTTAAGGGATCGTTATACGAAAATGGCATTTTTGTATAGTCTCTCCTCACTCCTCTCCCCCAAATGTTCTTAAATAAATATCAAGATGACAGTGACACAGTGGTAACAGTTTACTTTGAGAGTTAGAATTCAGTTTTCCTGAAGATCTGTGTAAAATGGGAAGACAATTCTCTAGGCAAGGTCATTAGGGATAGAGACAGACAGGAGATCTGGAAAAGGGGGGAGGATCTCCATTGTACAGCATGGCCTCTTTATGAGGTTGATGGTGTCAGGAGTTGTGCTGATAGCCAGATGCTTTCAAACAAAACCAAGATGTACTCAAAGGTCAGCTAGGAACAAATTTAACAACCTCCCAACAATGCAGTTCTGACATCAGGCCATTCAGAAGTCCCCTTAAAAGCAGGGTGCCACTCTCCTCACTGCCTTTGTCCCCTCCTGGCCTCATCCACTGCTCACCTTCATCCCCTCACCAGACCTAGTGATGGGCCAGTGAGGAGGGGAAGAGGAGGGGGAGGAAGGTGAGAGGCAGAGATGGATGTAGTAGATGGATGCCTTTCCTCCTGTACCTCTCCTTTGTACAAACAGAGGTTCTGTATTTCTCCAGGTAAATCTTGATTATTCACATTCATGTACCGTCTCTGAATTTCTAGTTTAACCAGGTGGTCAGGAGCAGAATCCACAGGGCTATTGAAGGGTGGGGCCCTTCTGCTCGGCCAAACCCCTGAATTGGTCAGGCCAGCAAGAAAGATCATCTTTCATGAGAAAGATGTAAATGCTTGGCTCTTCCAATTGTTTATTTTCCCCAAACAGGCAGTGCAATTTTCTTGCTATTTATCTTGAAAGAGTTCTAGACCTTCGCCCCTCAGCTCCTCACAGGTCTTAACAGAAGGGAGCTAGTAGACCAGGAGCGTGAAGGCACGGAGAATGTCATCAGGGTCAGGAAAATCAGGCTCCAATGAATGGGGCAATAATCAGCTTGTTCCTTCTAAATTACTGTAAAGTGCACCCCGTCGGCTACTTGACTTTTCTCTCAACCAACAACTCTGTTCAGCACCTGGGCTGCGAACTTATTATTTCCCCAGAGAAAAAGACCAAGGGCAAGGGTTACACTTCTGCTTTTTCTTTTTACAGCCACTTGTCTTTCTTCTTTTTACTGTGTCTAGTCTGACATGATAAAAATGAGTGTCTGCTTTTCCAGACTGGACATTTTACCCCATGTGGTACGTAGTGTGATAGCCATGATGTTCCAGGCTGCCACTACTTGGTCAATGCAAACATGGAAATTGAGGACACCAAATTTTAGCCTATGATTTGTGAAAAGAATAAGACCACACAACATGGTTTCCACAGCACATGGAGATCAACATACCATGATAAACACAGTCTTGAACTACACGGCACAGTGAACATGACAATTAATTAATTACTAGATTAACAAATGAAAAATGGATAATACCAACCTTAAAGAAAATGTGGAACTTCTGTATACTGCTGATAAAAATATAACTAGGTACAACCACTTTGGAAACAGCTTGGTATTACCTAATATACTTGATGACATACATACCTATGACCCAGCATGAGGCCATACATAACATAGCACTGTGTCAGAACACTAAAAATACACCATGTACACCAAGTCACGTGCAAGAATTGTCATTGAAGCACCATTTCTAATAGAAAACAAAACAACACTTGGAACAACCCAATTGCCCCTCAACAGGAAAACAGATAAATTAATTGTGGCATATTCATGCAGTGGAGTACTATTCAACAGCGAAAATGAGTGAATACAATTGATCAGTATGGATAAATAGCAAAAATAATCTGAGCAATAAAGGCAAGTTAAAGAAGGCCATACACCATGATCCAGTTATATTTAGGTTAAAGACATGCAAAACTAATTTATTATTTAGGACATATACATATATGGTCAAACCAAGGGAGGGAATGATAAATATAAAATTCAGGTGAATGGAACTAGGGAGTGGGATTGGAGTGAAGGGGCACATAGGACTTCAAAGGCAATGGTAGTGTCCTATTTCTTAAGTTGAGTGGTGGGCACATAGGTACTTATTGTAGATATTAAATATTTAACAAAAATATATAAAATAAGATCTGGTCTAAAGCTATGGGGCAAAGCCAGGACAGTCCGCCCAAGTCTCAGTTAGCTCTGTGAAATGATGAGGCTTGAGAACAAGAAGACATTATATTGGAGTTTGGGGATGAGACCGACCAGCCCTGGTTTCTGTTGGGTCCTTTTCCTTGCATCCGTTAATGACAACCAACAGCAACATGCTTTTTCAATGCTTTTATGTTCGTGTACTATGACACCATTCATTTTTTTTCTTTTAACTAATTAATTTATTTGGCTGCGCCGGGTCTTAGCTGTGGCACGCAGGATCATCGTTGTGACGTGCAGGCTCTTAGTTGTGGGATGTGGGATCTAGTTCCCTGACCAGGGATGGAACCCGGGCCCCCTGCGTTGGAAGCGCAGAGTCTTAACCACTGGACCACCAGGGTAGTCCTGACACCATTCATTATACATGTGAAAAAATGGATTCATAGGGAGGTTAAGTAACTGGCCCAAAGTTACACCACTCGTCAATGCTGGGATTCAAAGCCAAGCTTGTTTCCATAGTCTAAGCTGACAATCACAGGGTTTTGCCATCACAAGAGATACCTGTGCTTCAGCAGAGGGCCCTGTCCTGACATCAAGGCACCAGCTTAACCAAGACCTTGGGTGAATCACTTAATCTCCCTGGCCTCAACTTCTCACCTTTAGAGGATGAGAAAGGGTATTCAAGAAGGGCTCAGACTCCCTCTGACTTGGCATCTGGACATTGGCCCATGTGCACAGAAATTGGATTCCGTGAGCAGAAACACTCTCACAGCTTCCAGAAGAGATGCCTTTGGTGGTCTGTGCGAGATTGCTTCCCAAAGTGAGGCTAGGTGGTTGTGTCAGTTTACAGACCTTTGGAAGAAGTCCAAGTCCTCACTGAAACTGGAAGGTGAGCCACGGTTCACCCTCTCTGCTCTGCCACCCACCTGCTCATGGCTCTTCCCCTGCCAGGGCTGGTTTAGGCAGATTGCCAAAGGAAGCAGGCGAAGTGTGGCATGGATACTATGCTTCTATTGTTCTAATCATAACCTACTCCCACGAAGGTCAGCCTCACAACAACTCTATGAGGGGGCTACTCTTATCATTCACGATGTGAAGTCTGAGCCTCAGAAAGGTGACAGCACTTACCTAAGGCCACCCATTCTTCCTGATCCCTGAGCCAGGGCCCTTTAACCCCCAAACCATTCACCCCCATTCTTGGGATGGGGGTGGGGAGGCTGTCCTGCAGGAACAGTGGCCCTGGCAGCTTTCTGACACATGCAGGCCAAAGTAGCAGGAGCTTGCTGTTGGTCAGGCCAATGCCTAGTTAATTGGCCAGTGCCAGTTAAGGGCCCAGATGGAGGAAGGTTTGGGAGGAAGTTAGGGAGCCTGGGTAAAGCACTGGAGAAAAATAGCAGACGAGGCCAGAGAAAGGCCAAGAGAGAACAGGAACTGAGGCAGATGCTGCTAGTGGTCTATCTGTTCTCCTTTGCGGGGAGGGGGCAGGAAGGGAGGAAGAAGGAAGGAGACGACACAGCTGTGACTTGAACAAAGCGGCAAAGGCTCTTTTAAGCTCGAGGCTTCACTTTCTGTGAGATGAATCAGTTCCCTATTTCATCTGTTCAGTAAACTCAATATTCTGTATATGAAATTGGCCTGGAGTGCAGTACCCGTATTACGAGGAGAATCGCTTAGAAAACCGTCCAAGTATCAGTCCAAGTCCTTGGTTGGTAAGAACAGGACAGACAACTCCTGGCCTTTGTCTCATCTTCACCTCCTCCCTTGCCTTCAGCCCTCAGATCCGGTCTACGAGCAGGACTCTCCTTTGTATTATTTCCACCCTCGCCCTGTTCTCACTCCAGCCTAGATCCTCACCTGGATCACTGCTCAGCCTCCTGCTTCTTCTCTGCAGCTAGATCCACCCCCACTCTCATTCCCAGGCCATGTTCCCAACTGCTGACTCTCAAGAAGGATTTCAGAGGTTTTTCCTTTCTTCTAGAACCAAGTATGAATGTCATTCATGCCCCTGTCACTGAGTCTCACCTTGGGGCTCCATCTTATTCCTCACTAATTCCAAGCACGTGACCATCCCTTTGGTCAGACTGGCTCCCAAACACCCATTCTCTTCATCAGTCACACGGCCCAGCCACCAGCCAGAAATAGCTCTCCAAAGATGGGGTGGGAGGCAAATACATGGGGTCCTAGACGGTCAGGAGGCCAGGTCTTCCCTGTTAGTCAGGGCCCTGATGAAGCCAGACAGTAGGCAAGGGTGGAGAGGCAGAGTGCTCTGTCCAAGGAATGGGAGCGTCAGAGTAGTAGAAAGCCAAGATAAGGCTCATGGCCTCCAGGGGTTGAGGTCCTGGAGGCCAGGAGAAGCCCTTGAGAGCAGATGCTATGGCTGTTGATGACAAATTTCTGTTACCTTTTATCTGGTGGAGCGCCACTAGTCTCCTAGTCCTCTTACCCAGACAGTCCATCTAGATTCAGAGGGCCCCCAACTAAAGCAGACTTGAGCAAATCGGGAGATGGTCCATGTTCTTGGGTAGAATGACTCAGTGTCACGAATGCCATTATCTCCAATTT